AAAGGGAACAAGTTCTTACTAAAATAAATAATAATAATAATAATGGTTTAAAGAGAGGTCAATAAACATGAGAAAAAATCTCTCCTGACCTGCTAATCACCATTCCATCCCTGCCATTATGAAGGCACCTTTGATTTTACAGCCTTGTTTCCCCAAACCTGCAGAGAAATTTTAATTTAGCCAATATGAGTCTGTGACTATATCCTTTTATTTTTTTCCCCTGCACAAACTGCATTTCCACACACGCTCTGATCTGATCAGACATTTGGTAATTGTATTGCCGGAGGCTAAAAAAAACAGAATTAGAGATTTATCATCCCAACAGGATGACAGCCCCTTTCAATAGAGATTAAAGAGAAGGCCTGAAGAAAGCCAACTATTGTCTTTTCTCTTTTTTTCTCTAAGTATCATTTTCTCCCCTTTAACAATAGGTTAAAAGCATCTGTCCCAATGAGTGACATATTGCGATGAAATTGACCCAAATTTATCTAGAGTGGATTTCTGGATAGAACAGCCCATGGGGTTCATTGATCCTGGCAATTCTGGACCTCTAGGTCAGTAGAGATGTTACCTTATCCAGTCTGTGGAGATGCATCTGAAGTAGGTCTTAGACATCTCCGACTTCTCTTGTGGAGGAAGGCCAGGATGGACATAATTGGAGACCTGCAAATGACTTCCCACCACTGAATGCTTGGCCAGTGGAAGGAAGGTCTCCTGCCCATGTAAGGGAGCTAGGAGGGAAAAAGCTGCCCCCACAGTGAAGTCCACAGCCAGGATGATGTATGACCAAGGATACTGTGGCCAGCAGTTTCCTACAAGCATGTCTAGCTTTGAACAGCCCTTCTGACAGACTTGGAGCAGGGGCTGCACATGAAACTCTGAAGAAGCCTCTCTGCAGCCACAGAGTGCAGAAGATGGCACAACTTCTTGCAGAAATCAGGACATTTCACCTTCTCTTAGACATCTACAAAGGCATTTCCAGCCTGGCAGTGGAACCAGAGTTGGATGTCCTACTTTGACCCATCTCTTGCTAGGGAGATTATAGAGTTTGATGGGTGAGTCTAACCTTTTTTGTTGTGGTTTTCCTTTTATCATTTTATTTAACAATATAATCTGTTAATATATAGGCACAATGGGAAACAGCATTTTTAATAATCAATAAAACTGCTATGCAGAATGATAGAGCACTAATGGATTGGAGTATCTGCCTTGCTGCTTGCTAGAGGGGAAGCAAGTCGATAGGACACTGTTGGGACAACAGATGCTCACATCTTTTTCTTATTAAAAACAGATTTTTCTCTTTTTTTTCTTCCCAAAGTCAATAGTTTTATCTTAAATTTTCAGTCTTCAAATAATTCCCTTGATTTCTGCTAAAGTATGTTCAACCTATTGAAAATTGTCAGAAAAAGCTTGTGGAAAAACAAACTACCTTTAAAGCACTTATGAAGCCCTGAATCATAATTTGAGGTAGACTGGAAAAGAGTCCAATTAATAGTTCACATAGTCTACTGTAAGAGAAGACTGCATGATTACTGTTAGCAGTAATGAAAAATATAGTTCAGGCCCTGTCTCTTTCAAATAGCCTGGAGAAACACATTTGGAGACATGGATTCCACAGAGATTAAGAATGATTTCAGCAACCCACATTTTTAATGGTCTCAGTATAAACTCATTCCTGTAACTCACAGCGATTTAAAAAGGAATATTTTTGTACCAAAATCTAAGAAACATGAGCTTACAAGGGAACAAAGTGCTTCTATAAGCACATATTTAGCCCAGGACAGCTGCATAGGGCTATACTAGTTTTTTACATGCAGAGATGAATTTATCTAAATGTAGTTAATTCCTTTCTTAAAAATTCTCCTGATAGTTTGCCATATTATCCACAATAGAGTAACAAGGGAGGAAACTGCCTATGGATATTTTACAAGACTACATTATCTGGCCTAACCACTTTCTGATTAAGAGTTGCTAATATACCTCCATGAATTTAACAGATGAAAAACAGTTTTCCTCGTCAACCCACAAAAACTGACTGGGGCTCAGGGGCACTACAACTGAAAGGAAAACAACCCGGAAAATTATCAGTGTTCAGATGTCAGCGAGGAAGGAAAAACATCAGCCAAGATGAGCATTAAGTGACTTGTTGAAATCCTGCAGACTGCATTGCGTGATATGCCAACTACAACAGCACTAAGAGAACACTAAAGTCACAAAATCCAACATTCACAAGCTAGGAAATAGCAGGCTAAAGGCAGCCTGAGATGTGTAGACAGACCCCTGTGAGTAAGGTCATGGGGGGCCATGTCTTAATTAAGAACCACAGAAGAGTTGAGGTTGGCAGGGACTTCTGGAGAGCATTCAGTCCAACCTGCCGCTGCTCAAGCAAGGTCAGCTAGATCACATTGTCCAGGACTGCGTCAAGGTGGGTTCTGAGTATCTCCAAGGATGGAGACTCCACAACCTCTCTGTGCAACCTGCTCCAGTGTCAATGACCCTTACAATCCCATGAATGCTGCCCCCAAGGCCCCTTTGAAACACTGCTGCAATAACAGGATCTCCAAGCAGGAGAGACCCAATCTGAAGCCTTCACCCAGTACCTAAGGTAGGGGAGCAGAAGATCCTCTGGAGATTTCTCTCTTTCCAATGACTGCAGAGAAACTCTGGGTGACTAGCCGCAGTATGATACTGCTTCAAGAGACAGTTTATATGAATTTTGGAGAGTAATTGTGTGTGGGTGCTAAAAATCCAGCCCAAATTCAGTGCTCAATTTCCAAAACATCTCAAACCTGAATCTTCCCATGGAAACTTGGAAGCCTTTAGATTGCCAGATAAGTCAATAGTGATGTTACTCAACAAATTATTGCAGTCATTGAGCTGCAATAAGATCATAACACAGAACACTCATATTACAACATGAGATACAATCTAATTTATACTTAAAAAGAAAGAATGAATAATTACACATAGCTAACGATGACTGCTCACTTAAGCGGACTAAAAATTGTAAGGTGTTTTAAAATATTCATTAGAAGAAGCTTTTTTCTTTGCTGCTTATGAAAGTCTCTTCTCCCTAGAGAAGTGCCAGCTTGGCAGCTCTTCCTAAATTACAAGATGTCAAAAAGAAAAGGATTGTCTTCATCTACCTAACAAAAGTTGAAAAATCAATTTGGAGGAGAAGCGCTTCTTCGTGTAAGATTATTGAGGCTACTGAACACAAGGTCTTCTAATACTACTTAACTATCTAATGGACTAATCCGATCTTAAATTTATGTAAATTCAACTTGAATATCATTAATTTTTATTCAATCCCTAGATAAAATCTTCCTGATGTGTTTCTGAACTTTGAGGCAACTTCCTTACCTTCCAGCTGTCCTCCAAAACTCCTCAAAGAACCTAGGATCACCATGATCAGTAAGAGGATATGATGCTTTCTTCAACATATTCAGGAAGAAGAACTCACTTTAGGAACTCTGCTGGTCAGGGGAATTCTGGTGACTCCAAATTTATTAAAATTAATACTACTAATTAACATTACTAATTTTTTAAACCAAAGACCCTCATTAATGTCCTTCCCTTACAGCAACAGCATTAGGAGTGCCACAAGGATTTATGGAGGATATTTTGGGTGCACATGTTGTGCACACAACAAGTTCAAGCAAAGGTTAAGCCCTGTCTGATCTTCAAACAAGCTTGTTACCAAATCATTTTGTTTAAACAATAAGATTTTTAAAAACAGCTGCAGTCCTCAGGTTGGCAGTGTAAGATTTAACAGATTTTTGAAGGCAATTACATGAAAAAAAACATGCAAGATTGTTGCAGGGAGTCTGGGTGAACAATTAGGACAAGGTCCTTAAGCAGCTCATCTGTCTCACAGGCAGTTCAGTGTATTTATTAGATGATGTGGGTGTTCTATAACTATTTACGATATTATTCAAACACCAAACAGTCCTGATATACAGCCCCTCTACAGGCATGGTGCCTATGAGGCAAAATGAGGTCTGTGTTGTCCTTCTAGGTCTATCAAACCAAGCTTAGCACTTCAGTCTCATTCTTTCAGTAAAATAGCATCTATTTTAAAGCACTTTTTGGAAGAGTCCTTGCCCTCTGGATCTTAAACTGAACCAAACACTATCATTGTTTGCTTTTTGAGGATTAGATTTGGGGAGGGAAGGCTGTCGTGTAATTTAGCATATCCCGAAGCTCTGCATTTGGCCAACTAAAACATAGCAAGGAAAATGGCCAATAAATCAGTCAGATGACAGTCAAGCAGGGCGCACTGAAGTGATGCTCTCTGTCCAATATCATGTATGAAAGTGGGACCCCATCCTGCCCCCTAAGAGCGCCAACATATTCCACATGCTGGAGAGCCTTCTCCTTCAGCATGGGGACCTGGAAACTCTCCTGTCTTCTCAAACCATCCCCACTGTAGCAATGCCAGGAGGCAAATCCCTCCTTGGCTATGGGGCCCTAAGCTCCTCAGTGAAGTTTCTTGGGCTTTACTAATGTCGCAGATGAAGACCCCTAAAGTACCTCCATGCAGGCTGTCCCCATGGGGACTGAAGCTGGCTCTGAAAAGGAGATGCTCTGCTACACAGAGAGGTCCATTCCCCAGGGCTCAAGTCATAGCTCATCCATGGGGTGAAGAAGCCATCAGCAGTGGAGGGAGAGGACCACAGAGGTGGGAGTGGGCACTGCACAACAGCCCCATGTCCTCAGCAAAGCCTTTCTGGAGCACTCGCATGGGTTTATTCGCATGCAATATACAGCTGTGTTCAACGGCTGCCCTGGTGCTTCCAAAACAGTCTTATATAAAAATGAAGGAGGAAGTATTAACATTATATTCAATTTAATTCCTAAAAAGCACTCTCAGTCATGACTGAGTTTTGGTGCCAGACGAGAAAGCCAGGTGGATAAGGAACAGTATTAGCTTGTCAGTGCATATGTACTGTACCCTGTCCGAACTTATAGGAAAAGAAATGCAGTGTCAGAAAACTTACACAAAGGACATGCAGGACGACAGCTCCATGCCTCCTGTCTTCGTTCGTAAAGATGTCATTGGGGAATTCATGGAGAGCTGCAGAAAGGGGAAAAAAAAAAGCCCAGATGCTTAATCAAGTGACTCAAAACTGCTACATACACCGTTAAACAACATAAATACACCTGAGCCTCCTGCAGGGTGGCAATCTCAGAACAACCATGATTACGGCACCCTGTGCCGTCGGCGCTCCGCTGCCTCGCAGCGCTCCGTTAGCTTCACGTGTCCTCAGCCATACATGCCCTTCTGTGAATATTTACCGTGCAATTTGTGTCCACGGCAACTGTATGGCAAAAACATATGGGGATTGCAGGTAAACTCTACACCAGCAGCACTGCACCCCCCTGCAGCAGCTCATGCCCTCCTGGAAACATTCAGAGGGGAAGACTGTGTTTCAGAAGCAGCCCTATCAGGTCACACTTGCCAAGCACGGCCAACTTAGAGCTCTGCATCTCCACCTGCGTGGGTTTCTGATCTCTTCTCCAATCTCTTCCTTGTGAAAATGGCCATGTCAGAACCGCAGCATACATGTTGAGGAACAAAAATCAAAAAGGCTCAAGGATGACTGTATACGACCTTGGTAGTACCCGTGCTTGGTCCCTCTTTCTTTTGGTTTGTATAAGCAAGCCATGCATCTAAATCTATGCATTCCCTACTCTCTATGCTGGAAAGCTCTCCAGAGAGCTGTGCAGCATCCTCTCCTCCATCCTGGTGTACATCAGAAACGGCCTGAGTATCTCCAGGAGTGACAACTGGGAAAAGCAGATTGCATCTCACATGCATCATCGCTCTCCTCCTTCAGTATTGGGCAACAGTGACACTGGTCTGTAGACTTGGGACAAGCAAGCAAGGACGTGAAATAATTTGCCTGGGGTGACAGAGCTCCTGCGGCTCAAACAAGGAGGTCTGGGGGAAAAGATCTAGGAGCCTAAACACAGCTTGGCCACGGAGGAGCCTCCGAGTGCGGGGATGACGGCTCTCATGGGTAGCAACCTCTCAGGCTCAAGCTTCTGCAGAAAGGTCAAAGAAACCATCTTCCATGGGGGCAGATTTTTCTACCTGACTGACTCAGTAGGATGAGGAGAATCACTAAAAGACTAAGAGGGTCCTCAAATGGTTGTTTTATCCATGCTGTCCCAAGACAGGGGCAGTATGACCTGTGTGATTCGTAGCAGGCACCTGGCAAACAAGTTCTTCAAGATGGAGACGTTGCATCTCAGTATTTCACTATCAGAGCAGTTACGAAGCTCTTCCTAAGTTGTAGAAAGCAAAGTTTGTGCGAAGTTTGTACTCGCAGTGGCCATAACAACAGGTAAGAGCTCCCACTTCCCCCTCCTACTTTTACTGTGCCCAACCAAAGACCCTCGGTTAGTTTGGCTGAGACAGCCAAGCCTCAGTCACTCATTTCCAGGGACAGATCCTCTACAAGGCAGCAGCTCTTATCCATGGAAATGCAATTGCCCATGCGTTGAATTACTCCGCTGGCATGGCCTGTATATACTGCTAATAGTTCTCCCCTGCACCTAACTCAAGGGCAAAGTCATTACTGATCTGAAGGAAGGATATAAACGTTTACTCGGTGATGATGCTGCAGGATTCAGGCAAACTTCATGGCCTAATTAGTTTTGGGAAAAGCATCTGTTGGTAGAATTGAACCATGAAGGAACTTTGTACAGAATCATAATTATTTTGGATAATAATAATGAATAATGATAATAATGAACAATGACATTATAGAGCAAGAAAAAGAAACCAAATCACAATAGAAACGTCTGCTGCGAGAATAAGTGGACCCACTTTCTGATCTCACTTATTCCCACAGTAAATTTGGATCCACTTCCCGGGGCCCTAAAACATTGTCACTGCTGTCATTGCTTGTCCCTACTCCATGCAGGGAGGACAAGGATGCAACCTTTGCAGTCAGAAGGTGACGTGCTACACAGAACATCTCCTCCCCACTTCTTTCCACATTTTGCAATTAGAAGTGGCAAGTCTTGCAAACAAGCAGCAGCACCTCTGAAAACAGCAGAATTCACTGAATTCCCAGGCGAGGTGGCCATTAGGTCTATTCCCTAATTCAGGCTGTTTTCTGAATAGAGAGAGGAAAGGAACATTTTGGAAGTTGCAAGGAGAGGTGATGAAAGTAAATCCCTCCTTTTATGGTTGCTCATTCACATCTATGCTCTTGCTCTCCATAAAGCACTGAGAAGCAGAAGCTCCAGAGCGACAGGCTCACACCGAGGCCACATTTACAGCCTGCCTTGGCTGTATCAGCTAATTTCAGTCTGAAGTTCTACTGCAGTCCAATAAACTCCCAAGCCTCACAAATGACACACACTAACAAGTATCTCCGAAACCCGATAGCTAAATGAGTCCTTCCAAAATAAAACCCTTGGCAATTCAGCTTGTTCAATTTACCTTCATTAAGAGCATTGCATTTTTCTGAGGTTTGCAATTTTATTTCCAACGCTGGGCAATCAGTGTGAGAGCTGAAAGGCGCACACAGTAGGGTTGAATAACCTTGGCTGCAAATATGGTTTTGCTGGTCATTTAAAGGCAAATTACTTTCATTCACTCAAGAGCTTTGTTACTGCTCTATATGTTAATTGGATTATAACATCAACTGAAAAGCAAGTGTTAAGATGATGTTCTGGCATGCCAAGTGTCTCGCAGTACTTCCAGATTTGAATTGCTCAATAACAACTAAAATGATGTTTTTCCCCTCATGGTCAGCTCTGCTCACTCAGCTTGGAGTTGGAAAAATCACAGCGTGTTTTTCCTGGCTTTCGCGTCATTATCATTAATAAAGCTTCAGCAATTGGAATTTAATTAACAATCCCATAAATGATGAAATGGAAAAATAACCTGGCTTGCTCTGATGTCTCTGAAGCAATAACCGAGCAAAACAGAGCAGCATCTCGGTTTTGTTACCCAGACTGTGGATCTGCAGAGAAAACATTTTCATACGCAGTCTTCTGACCAAAGGCTCTGCTTAACACTGTTAATTGTGTTCTTATGCGCTGGAAAATGTTATGGGTCCTGACAAACGAGGAGAGCTACTGGAGAAGTACCGAGGACATCTTTAATATTAGTCCTCTTAGCAAGTAGTGAGTTGGCTCTGGGGGACCAACACAAAGACCAGAGTTTGAGATGATAACAATCCAATGGCTTTATCAAGAGTCTGGACCTGCTCAAGGAGACTGAAGTGCATCTAGGGTAAAAACATGCAGAAAAAAAATCGTAAAAATAGCAAAAGCTCATAGCTGCTGGGATGAGATGGGGGATCCAGGCATCGCAAGAACATCTAATTCGCAAGAACATCTAATCCTCTCCCAAGTACAGCTTCTGTTGTAACAAAACACACCTTCTTACACGAGAAAATCTAAGGAATCCATCACTGGCTTCTCCATGCGCTGTCTGAGAGCCAAGGCTTTTATGACTTACATTTGAACACAGGCAATTATGAACTAATGTATGCGAGTTTGTAATCCGCTGCATTTTTATTAGCTGCATCAGGTGCAGATGAGCACGGAGAGGAGCTCTGCAAAACACAGGAGCGCCTTTCTGCAGAGAAAGAAAGGGAGCTGCTCGAACAGCACTCCAGCAACAGCTGCCCTATTTAGCTAGCATAAAAGCTCCTGCAGTTTGTTACCTCACTTAAAAGGGAGCTCAGCAATGGGCAGAAAATGGGGGAGACTTTGCCAAGCTTATTTGGATTGTGCCAGAAAAAATGAAATGAAATGAAATGAAGTAAAATAAAATAAAGTAAAATAAAATAAAATAAAATAGATCCGGTCAACGAACCTAACCCCACAGAACTGAAGCAAATTATTCCATTCACCCTTCTCCTGCAGATCCTGTAGGTGTTCGGTTTGCAAAGTAGAGCAGGACAAGATCTCTACAAACATCCTCCACAGACGTTTTCGAGATGAGTGTTAGACAGCAGGTTCGTCGATGAGGGCAGGTCCCCACGCTTGCAGCAGCCCAGCATCGTCCCCATTGCTAATCACAAATCCCTGTCAGGAAGGGCAAGGCAGCTCAATTGAGCTTCCAGAAGATGGAGAAGGCAAAGCCCAGGAGCACGGTGCACAACAGACTCTTTTCTTCAAGTTTAACCTCGAATTAGCAACTTGAAAGCTACTACTCAAAGAGAGGTCACTAAAATTTGGAAATATTTGGATTTTCCTCCCTTATCTGATATTTCTGCCCCTAAAATCTCCTCCAATGCAGCTCCCAAAGCAACGGAAGGGATTTTCGTTCCCCTTGGAAAAAAAACCAGAAAAGGGGCTTGCAATGAAGCATTTTATTGAAGGAAACTCCTGCTCCTCTACTTGTACCATAGATAGGTCTTTGCTTTTGTGGCATGACTATGAGTTGTAGACAGCAGAGTACCACACTCCTGCTTGAAAAATAACAGTATCTGAGCACCACTACTCTACAGCTCTCCAGATCCATTAGAAACAGTGGGACCAAGCTGCACAAGAGATGCACAAAAACATATTGAAAAGAAACCTCCTAGAGGTTTCCTCAAGACACAGAAAACACATGTACTTGGGTCAGCTTTCACCTCAGAGTCTACTAAATGGAAAAGAAAAAAATACTTCACTGAATCACAGAATGCTTAAGGTTGGAAGGGACCTCTAGAGATCACCTAGTCCAACCCCCTGCACACGCAGGGTCACCTAGAGCACGTGGCACAGGACTGCGTCCAAGCGGGTTTTGAAGATCTCCAGAGAAGGAGACTCCACAACCTCTCTGGGCAGCCTGTTCCAGTGCTCTGTCACCCTCACAGTCAAGAATTTCTTCCTTAAGTTCCTCTGGAACTTTTGGTGCTTCAGTTTGTGGCTATTACCTCTAGTTCTGTCAGTGGCCACCACTGCAAAGAGGCCAGCACCATCCTCCTCATTGCCTCCCTTGAGGTACTTATAGACACTGCTCAGGTCCCCTCTCAGCCTTTTCTTCTCCAGGCTGAACAGGCCCAGCTCCCTCAGCCCCTCCTCATAGGGCAGATGTTCCAGGCCTCTGATCATCCTCGTAGC